TGGAATATTTTCTCATCCCAAATAGGTAGTTTTGCTTCTTTGTGCTGCCAGACGCCGCGCAATTAGCGGGGAAGAGGTGGATGTTTGAGAATAGCTAATGCCCAGTCGTGCTCTGCATAATGCGTTGGGTGAAAGACCAGGAAAAGCGCGGATTTCAACGGAATATAGACAGCTAATTAGCTCCGAGGTTAAATGTTCAGCTCATTCCTGAGGAAACACTTGGAAAAAAACCAACCTCAAACCCCAAGAGTGATATTAAGAATTTATTTTTTTTTAAATCCTAAAATGGCTCTTTGTATTGTACGGTTTTACAGGCCTTCATCCAGGATAGGGGAAAAAAAAAGGGGGAAAAAAGGGAAAAAAAAACCCCACGTCGCTGCCGGGCTTGTGTTCCGCGCGCCGCTGAACGGTGCGCGCCCTTCCTTTCGGAAGCTGCCCGGCTTTGATCGGAGTGTTGGCTGGTGTGGTCTGGAATCTGTTTTGGGAAAAAAAAAGACAGTTTGGAGCGTTGGCTGGTGTGTTCCGGATCTGTTCCGGGCAAAAAAAGTCAGTTTGGAGCGTTGGCTGCTGTGTTCCCTGGTGTTTTGGGGCAAAAAAGTCAGTTTGGAGCGTTGGCTGGTGTGTTCCGTGGTGTTTTGGGACAAAAAAAGTCGGTTTGGAGCGTTGGCTGGTGTGTTCCGTGGTGTTTTGGGGCAAAAAAGTCAGTTTGGAGCGTTGGCTGGTGTGTTCCATGGTGTTTTTGGGAAAAAAAGTCAGTTTGGAGCGTTGGCTGGTGTGTTCCATGGTGTTTTTGGGGCAAAAAAGTCAGTTTGGAGCGTTGGCTGGTGTGTTCCATGGTGTTTTTGGGAAAAAAAGTCAGTTTGGAGCGTTGGCTGGTGTGTTCCGTGGTGTTTTGGGGCAAAAAAGTCAGTTTGGAGTGTTGGCTGGTGTGTTCCGTGGTGTTTTTGGGAAAAAAAAGTCAGTTTGGCGACCAGGAAGGACTGAGGGATCCGTATTGAGCTCGTTTTGGTCTGTAACTTCACAGGTATTTGCTGGAAAATTCCCAAGTTCCCAAGTCTCCGGCTTTGAGCGCAGTGCAGGTTCCCCAGGAGTTCAGCGGAGGTTTGGGAAGAGCCAGGCGGTGCCGTGAGTCGGCGCTGGGAACGTCGGGGTTGTTCCCGTGGGCCCCCCGCAAGCTGTGGAATTTCTGGGATAATGCTCGCTGTTTTTTTTTCCCAAGTCTCCGGCTTTGAGCGCAGTGCAGGTTCCCCAGGAGTTCAGCGGAGGTTTGGGAAGAGCCAGGCGGTGCCGTGAGTCGGCGCTGGGAACGTCGGGGTTGTTCCCGTGGGCCCCCCGCAAGCTGTGGAATTTCTGGGATAATGCTCGCTGTTTTTTTTGGGACACGCTCTAAAACTGAGTTAATTCCCTGAGAATCGTCGCTGTTTTCTCGGGACACGCTCTAAAACAGAGTTAATTCCCTTCTCGCCTGCGCGGATCACGGGCCGGGGGGTGCCCAGGGCTGTGGGTGAACACCCGGCTCCTCCGAGGCGCCGGAGTCTTGGAAAAATGGCTTTTGATTTGAGGATGATTCTCAATGCCAAACAGGGCGATTTATTCCGCGGAAGCGCCGTGTCTGTGCTCACGGGGACGGCTCCTACTCCGCGATCGGGATTAAAGCGGCTTAGCGAGGGGCTACC